TCCTGACAGTTCTGGCGGCCGGTCTGAAATTCTTTCAGCTAGAAGCATCTGCCGAAAAACCGATGCCGGTAGCGTCAAAAACCTGCGGGGAACTCTGCAAAAAACGCATCTTCGCACGGGCAGCCCGTGCGTTGGCCATTTATTTACTGTGGTGTTATCCAAGTGCAAACCTACTTACGAAAGGAAAAAACTTTAATTTCGGTTCCCTTTGCTGAAATGTTGCCTACTGCCTGAGTGCGTTACTGTTCTGGTTCTGCACCCTGATTGATTAAATTCAGAGTTTTCTAACGTACCTGTGCTGAATTCGTTTGACAAATTTAGCATAGTTTAGCACTTTCAAATAAAATTTGATGCCTTTTCAAGCTGTTTTACTCTTTTTTTATCTCATTTTTATGCGTTTTGTGCTGTGCAACGCTGTTCAAAACGCATGTTGTCACGGAGTTGACTGTGCGTGTGTGTGTTCGCGGTAACTTATCCGCAACTTTCAACTCGGAAACCGCGAAAGCTTGAAGCTGAAAACATAGAGGTATGTTTTTCCGCCCACGTATTACCCTCCAAATTTAAATTCAACCTTCCCATGCCCACAGGTAACACGTACGGCCCTGTAAAAGTTATAGCGGATAAAATTACTATCACTTGAACCACGAAGGCTAGAAGGCTGAAATTTTGTGGGCCTGTCCGCTACCCTTGTGCGACTTAGAAAATTTAAATTCGGCCTTCCCCCGCTTGCGGGTAACACGTACGGCCCAGTAATTTTTGACGCGTAAATTGTATCGGGAACCATGGAATCTAGGAAGCTGAAATTTTGGAATAGTGTCCCTCTGCCTCTATGCGACCTCGCAATCAAATTCAGGGTTCCTGCACTCTCAGATATCACCTACAGCCCCGTGACAATTTTGGCGAGAAAATTACCTCGGTAACCATAAAAGCCAGGAAGCTGAAATTTTGCGTTTTGGGCCCTACCCACATACAATCTCGCAAATGTAAATTCAGCGCCTTCCTGCTCGCCCAGGTATCACTTACGGTCCCGTGGAAGTCCCGGCGAGGAAAATTATTGTCTCGTGAACCACGAAAGTTGGGAATCTGAAATTTTTGGGTTATGTCCCCCAAGCAGAGAACATTTTAACAGCATATATTCGCTGGACATAACGGTGTAAGACTCATGCTTGCATCGGTTGCCCTGATGCACGGCGCTGTTTATTGTCTTTCGTTTTGATCAGATTTTACGGATTTCCGGCTGTCTTTATGTGTGGTCGCTCAAATTTCTATTTCCCTCACCCGTCTCCCTCTGGCTTACTTTTGCATTTTCCCACATGAAAGATTTTGTCCCCTCCTTCAGCGCTTGTTTGAATATGCCACTACTTCCGATGTAATTTATAATGTTTTGATTCATTCTAGCATCTTTGTCTTTTCCTTTTAAGGAGAACGCGTTTCGGAATGAAAGTTTTTCTCCGGCGGGGGATAATAAATCAATTTATGCGAGCCGCGCTGGATACGACTTGAAACAGAACAATCCAACATACGACTTTATTGTGGAACAGAAGTAGGCAGGCGATCGCTTTTTCTCATGAAGCTTCTTTTGATTTTGCCTTTTGTTTGTAGTTGCGTAGCAGTTCTGAAAAAATGTTGCAGAAGCCTTGTTGATTTCCTGAAGATAATCGTCTTCATGTATGGGCACTGGATAACAATTGTGATGGTACTAGTGGCTGGCCTAGGAGGTGTATCGTTGTTCGCGCTTGGCTACATTGTGTTAGCCTTCTGGATGCTTTGGCAAGGAAATAGTTTGTATCTCAGCACGAATTATCGCAGGACACTTGCGCGCTGGAAGCTTCTTATGTTATACACAGTAATTGTCATGCTCTGTAAAGCTGCTCTGCAGGTAAGTTTCCCGGGAAAAAATACTTCAATGTTGCTTGTGAAAGAAGTCGATCTCTACTGAAGTTAAAGTTCTGGAATGTAAATTTGCTGTCTGGGTGGATGCCGTAAGTGGGTGCTGCTGTAGTAGTTTTCCACCCTTATTGTGTCGTGCAGCAGGCAGATATGACATTCGGAGCGCTGTTTTTTTTTTTTCTTTTCTCTGATCTTTAGTGAAGTGAAGTAGTCTGTCTGTCCGTATGCTGTTATTTTAAATTGTGGCAAGTGTGCATGCAAGCTGGAGATT